CCCCCCCCCGCAAGATAACTCTTCAGCCTCCAGCTGTAAGCATCGCTCGCTCCCCTCCTCCTCTCTTTCTGGGGCCAGCACCTTCATTCGGTAAATCCATTGCAGCGTGCTATCCATCTCAGCCTGCAGCAGCTCTGGGACCAGTCTCACCTACACCCCCCAGCATTTCACCACCATGAATCAGTGTAGCAGGAGATTAAGACTAAACAGAGTGCCTCTTTTTGGAAGGGCCAGTCCTGAGGACTTTTTCCTTTCCTACAATAAGCATACAGGTATAAACACCAGCAAATACCAAATTCTGCCTGCAAAAAAGATGAGGGATGTTGAGCATGTGGGCCCTACCATTCTGGGGGAGATGAGAATTAGTAATTCTCTAAAGAGAAACATACCTCGAGTCGGCTTAATGCATTTTGGACCACATCTTCTTGCAAACATCTACTTGAAGGAGGTGGGCAGGTGATTAGAGGCTTCCATATTGTGAAGTGGATAAGGAATCCCAGAAAGGGTAATTCACTACTAAAATAGTGCTCCGTACACCTCATAAGCTCCCACCACAATGCTGAATATAAGTGAGCAGTCTCTTTGGAATCTCATGTATATTATTTTGCAGATATGCTCCCACAGGGATCTATCCTTACCTAACCCTGACCCTCAAAACCAGCAAGACTGCTAGGGTTCTCCAAGAACATGCCTGGGGGCACAGAGACAACTACCGGTTGTATATACTTTGAGATCACACTCCCTTCCAGTATATGTTTTGCTCATACCCACCTGCTCCTTTTAAACCAGTGAACAGAGCACTCCGGAGTTTAAAAGTTCAGTGACAGGGCTGCTTGGGTTCCTGGACAAGGCAAATTTTACTATTAGCAAGGTACCAGTCCCCCATTCACAGGTCGAAGTCACACAAATATCTACAGAGCAAGATACCAAGACTGCCTACAATGTGTAACTGGTCACTAATGCACACACATACTTCTCACTTTTTACCATACGAACGGCAAGGAATTTTCATTACATTGAGGGGGAGGACAATCACCCCTGGCACCATATGCGTACCTCTTCTGTTTTGTGCTTCTGGGCAAGAAAAGATGGCAGCAGCAACTAGGCAAACAACCGAGCCCTCGTACCGCTCCCAACATCCCAAAGAGCAATATAATTCCTGTCTGCAGCTTATCACAAAGAATGAAAATCAACTAGGATCGAGAAACATTTAAAAACAGGCAATCCAAAGGGAACTCAGATTCTAAACGATGCAGCTCAGTTCCTGGCTTTGACATCACTGCCTCGTGGACTGTATCAGACGTACGATGCTTTTGCAGCACCAGTTAACAGAGCATACATAGGAAACGGTAACATAAAAAGCTGTAGGGGAATAAGAAGCAGCCAGAGCTGGAACACTCCAACCATGGATGAAAAAGCACAGGGAAATATGAGAGAGCAATCTGGTCCACTGCATGAAAAGCCTCGATTCCCTGTTCCTCATCTTGCCAAAGACTGACTAGGGTATATCTGAATTCTCAGGGGACCATTTTATTTATTTTTTTAAGATTCCTTTAAACAAACTATTTTACATTTGTGTTGTGATTCAACTCTGTATTTAAAAAGCCTATGACAAACTGTTTTCCTTTGAACTCGGGAGATGTTAAAAATCCCTACTGGGAATGTAAGCCTAGCAAATAGCCTATATGAATAACAGAATTAGAGGGAGCCTTAAATGCTGTTCCAAATTTCCAAATTTGAATATCCTTCTGGCATTCTGAAATTTTGATGGCCAATTATGCCGTCACCTTTACTGGTGTCATACAGAATGGCCTACATACGAGGCCGTTGAGGCAGTGCAAGATATCCAACTATAAAATAGTCGTGTGCCTCTGTTGAAAGGCAAGAGAGAGCCACTTGATACACAGAGAACAACAAAGCACACAAAAATTAGTTTCAGAAACTTAGACAGAAATTCTAAAGCTTAACAAAATGATCAAGGTTTTTTAAAACATTTTCTTTTTCAGATTTTCCTTCCTATTCTAGTCTTCCATTAACTCAGGCATCATGTTTAGTTCTCCCTTAGCCTACAGCAAGAACAGCTACTTCTTTTCTCCAAGTCAAGCACAACAGAGACCTCTAAATGTTTTTAAATATAAAAGAACTGAATAGTTGCACACCAAATCAGAAGTGACCTGTTGCTCTCCAGCGTCTCATAAAACAGACTGCATAACACAGTTTAAATTTTCTCTGCTCTGCACAAATGACACGTAACAAATTCTATGTCTGCATTTTAATGGTGCAGGAGATGTTGCACTGCTCACAGAAGGCATGTGAAAATGACAGCTGCTGAATTAAAATAGTCTTACAATACAGGGCTGGTAGAACAATGAGGCTTGAACCTATGGATGCACGAGAAAGAAGTTTTGCTAAGAAGTGGAAGTGGCTCTAGAGCACAACGGTTTGAGTTTTTACAAGTACAGAATTTGGATTTTTAAGACAAACATTTCAATTTTACTACTTACGTTTAAAACATTATTTATGACAGAATTCTGTCAGCATTATTGTTTGTACTGTTCACTGAAGACAAACTGTAACACAATTTTAAAAAATGCTATGGATAATTACTGCTGTGAAGCAGCACCAGGAAATCCCATGGCCTGCTAGGTCAATGTTGACAGGCAACACCATTACATTTTATGAAGTGGTTACCATGGCTATTGACCAGCCACAACACAAGATCTCCCAATACCACTTTATAATTTGAGCTTCCCCAATGAAATGTATTAGATTCTGCAGTATCCTGCTACAACGTGTAAACAGGGAGCTATAAATAACCAAGGAAGAACAAGGAACAAGCATGTTAATGTTTGCATATGTGTTACTTGCAGGTCCCATATTTTATCCCAAGAAACAAATACCATGACAAGATACACAAAGCCATTATGTTCTGGCTAACAGAGCTCAGATGGCATGTTTATCAATGTGATGATAATGCCATTGCAAAGCTGTAGTTAAGGTTATGCGTCAGGGTTTCTATTATCAAGAGATTACAGCTTGGCAGGAAAAATTTGCTGCTGCTGCATGCTGAAATTCAGCACCCCTGGTTTTAACTGTGAACTGAGGTTCCCAGTTCAGTTTTCTTCTTTACTGCAGAAATCTAAAATAAAGCTGTTTCTAAAAGCATGCAAGAATAACATCTAGTACAAAAACAATCTGTTTAATCAATTTAAGAATTTCAAACTGGAACCTCATGGGCTTCAGCAAGGAAGGATGACTCTGATAAAACTGTAAATTCATAACTGCTACTAGTATGTCTCTTCCGAGGTGCTGCTTCAGTCAGGTTTAGATCAAACGTGTTTTCTCTTAAGAAAATCCATGTGCTATTTCATTCCCTTCCTATGACTTCCACCTGGTTAATTAGTGAAGAGCACGTTGTAATGCACTGTATTTACAAACACACAAGCACAGAGCCTTTTCTGTTCTTCCTCAATCCAGGAAATAAGGACTTCTTTTTTTTCCCTCAATCTTTCTAAAAAAAAAAAATCTCTTTAGACTACGTCCAAGAACAGCAAGTTCTTCTCTCAACCTTTTCCTCATTTATAAGCATATAAAAATGGAAAATGTTGCTATCATGAAAGCAGTCGGTACAGTGCATGTTTTGAAAGGCCCAAGGTTTTCTAGGCAGATGCCAATTGACATTGCCACCATCTTCCATATTTAATATGCCTTTTTAAGTTTTATAGTAAATATGGTAGGAGAAATTACGGGGTTTTAATAGTTAACAGCAAATAAACACTAAATGCATAAAAGCATCTTTATTTCTTAAATTTCACAAGACGAAAAATTATGGCAGTTCTGAAAAGAAAATGAGATTTGGTTATAGCTGCAAAACTTCTGTTAAGTGTGCAGCACATTCATGGATTGTCCCAAACAATTTTTTAGCATGCAGACA